ATTAGGGGTACTCTTTGGGGGTCCCTATAATCGGGACTATAGTATTTTGGGGTCTATATTGGGGTCCCTTATTTTGGGAAACTACCAAATAGTGCTTTCCATTTTCTTTCCATTATGCCCTAAATAACCCAAGTATAGCCCCAATATACTATAGTAGTTTGCAATTTCCAACAATGGGGTCCCCCTCCTTGAGATGATGAACCTCAATATGAGGGGACCCCTCCAGAAAAGAGACCCCTATGCCAAAATGGAGCTCATGAGCCCTCAGCCCGATGCAGTCCCTGCATGTTTCCCCTTCTTTCAAAAGAGATTGAAGATGGGCTCATACAAGGAATTGTGTACCGCGACCTGAAACCGGAGAACGTCATGCTTGACTCACAGGGCACCGCAGCCTGATTTGGGGCATAGAGGTTAGGAGGTGGGGTAAGAGGGCTGTATTTCGGGCCTGAGCCTTAAACCTTGAATCCTGCACCGTTAGGTCCCTGAACATGACATGCTCAGGCCGTTAAAGTTGTAACATGAGCAACTCAGTCAAGAACATGCTGGTGCTTATGAGCAATAACTCGGCGTGCATGACAGCATTCGTGTGAGGTGTGAAGATAGAGGTACCTGGGGATGGCCATGGCATGATTAAGAGTTACAGTTGTGCCAGGATTCTGCTTGGGAACGAGGGTTTTTTGAGAAGTCACTGCGCGGAAGTCTTATCCACGTCCCGTTGTGTTGCAATTTCTTTTGCTTCAAAAGCTTCTGACGCTTCCATCTGTTTGCTGACTGCTTTGCGTGCTGCCAGTATGAAAGGTTTTGACCCCCCTTCCCCCGAAGTGAAGACCGAGGTAGCAAACTTTGGGTTTGCTGAATACTGCTTTGCAAACAACGGGGTCCCGTGTCAGGTTACCTGAAGCTGATCGACTTCGGCATTGCGAAGAAGCTGGCCGAAGGACCACATGATCGGAATAGTTTCATCGCATAGAGTACCTTAAGTAGACCTCGAAACGGAGTGGGTAATTAAGTATTCAGGCCCATGCATTACTTAGAGTTGAGGGTAGA